GTGAAATGGAAAAAACAATCCAATGGAAGACCAAAGAATGTAAGAAACACTCCATGAGATGGATCCCATCAAAGCAAGAGAAGTGATCTGCTACCAGAAACAAATCCAAAGGGCATGATATATTGTAAGGTAAATACAATAACTATAAACTCAAGAAAGGAATTCCAGAGTGATAAAGCACAGGTCCAAGAGTGGATGCCTAACTGGCATTTAATTGAAGTAATGACCATAGACTTGTCCAAGTGTATCATTACAAAATTACCAAATAAATGCAACTGAAAAAGAGGACATGCCCAATAAGCTGCAGTCATCTGCAGAAAGTTGATATGCAGGTGATGTTCCCCTGGAGACCAGACTCTGGAGAGAGAGAGTGATGGGGTTGAGAACCATCCCCAACCAGAAAGACACGTATTAGTGGACAGGGGAAGTGGCATACCCTGAAATGTGTTGGAGTGATCAAGTTACCACAATAGAGGAGTGTAGAGAGTAAGACAGATAAAAGCATAAAAGGGAATGCAGAACATGTTCCAATGATCCCTCAGAACCCACTGAAGGAGACACGTATGCATGACTGAGAAGAATCAGGACTTAAAAGGAAGCAAGAGTTCCCAAATGCAATAGAGAAGTGACTTGGATACCAAAATTTCCATGACATGAATATGCAAAGAAAATCCCCAGGTGGACAAGAAACTGAGTGGGAGTCAAAACAGATTTGGAAAGTTAGACCAGCAAGCCCAGGGAAGAGGTTTTCTGAAGAAAAGTGGAGGTACTAATCACCAATTATTGTCGAGACAGGGCCAGGAGAAATATAATATAATAACAACAACAATATAATAATGGAAATGAAGACCTAGAAGATGCATGCACCAAACAAAGGAGTACATGATCCAGTTGAACATGTAAAGGGTTGTAGCTAAGCCAAAAGGAAGGGTGTAGAACTGAAAGACATGACAATGAGGACAAAACAGAGAAATAATGGGACAGAAGGTAAACAGGAACATTAAGAAAGGCATTTTAAATGTCTTCCCTGCTTAAACACAGCCCGGGAAAGAGGTCTTAACACAGACTAAGAAAGTTGTCTATTCAGAATCGAGGAACAAAGACAAAGGAATTCAGAGATGAATTGGGAGCACCCCAAGCAGAAATAAAAGAAACAAAAACTGAAGATCAAGAAATATAACAGGGCTATAGAAATGGAGTCACAATGAAGAGCAGGACATGAAATATATATGACAATGTGGAGTTGGGACAGAAAGAGATACATGAAGTAAAACAACTAAGGAGACATTATGACACACAGGTAAAAAAATTTATGAACATAACAGACAGAAAAGGAGGAAGTACCTGTTCCACATCAGAGAGAGAAGGGCCAGAAACAAAAACTGGAGGTGGAAGATTTGGCCAAATTTGTCCACAAGTGATGCAGGATCCACAGAAGGTAAAGAAACAAAACAACTAGGGGCCCAAACTGGAGAAGAAATAGGCAGAAGAGAACCAACCACCTGATGTATGAAAATGGGAATATCATCACTGAACTTTGCACACTATGGTTCATCACAGCTCAATAAGGTTGTGAAAGCTAAGTTATCCATAACTTAGTGGTGAGGGCCACTGAGTGAAATCCAAGATCTGTCACATGCAAGTGTGTGCTCTAATGTCAGTTCAATGAACAGATAAAGTACCTCTAGTCACCATGCAATACACATGGACACACGTAGCAGTTGAGTTCATTCAAGGATTGTGCTTGCACAGGAAATTACACAGTAATTGCACATGAAGTAATACTTCTTGGGTGATGCAGAGATATAAGTAGAATAGCTGAAGTAAATATTTACAAATTGTTTATTTTAGGAAAATTTTAAGTTAAAAAAATACCAATAAAATCCAGTTCTGAGGAAATGTATAATGATACAATTACTGCTGGCATGCAAACCACAATGTACTGGTATACTGGTAAAAATGCACACCTCTAATAGTAAACATAACAAAACATAAAAACACATATAAGAGAAACATTTAAATTTTTTAGTTATTTGGTTTCTGGTTTTTAGATGAATGATTTTGTTTTGAATTGTTTATATTTTTATTGAGAAGGGTCTTTATGATTGTTTTAACTTATTACACAGTTTAGTTCCATAATTACATATATTTTTTACTTAATTATAATGATATACCTGTTCTGAAAATCCAGAAGTTCATTGTTTATCTCTTCAATATTAATGTTGGACCAGAGAATTTCATAGTAGCTGTTGACCCGATCTACAACGTCATTGTAAAGTCGATAGAGCTTGTGTAAAAGACCCAATTCCTTTTGAATCCGATGAAGTCTTGGAAAGTTTGATACTGGAAGACCAAAAAGGCCTGCTCCATTAGAATAGCTAATGTATTTCCTCCACAATGCATCAAACTGATTCTGAAACACAAAATTGAACAAACAGTTACCAATATTACAGTTGCAGAATATTTTCATTTTAGAATTAGAAAAGGTAGGTACTAAAAGTATCAATTCATGTTGCTTCTACAAAGACTAAAATATTTAAAATTACTATTTGAATCGCATGTTTTGCTAAGGAAGTACTATAACCTGATGTTATTTTAAACATGTTAATATGTATAATGTAACAAAACTTTAACATAAACATGCCCTCAAGTTTTTTTTTTAGGTCAACTAATTTGTATATTCACTGTAGACATTGAACAAATTGTTGAATAATGTTTCCCTAAAACTCTCAGTTACTGAAAATAAAACTGAAACTTCTAAGTTTTAAATTTGTTCTGGTATAAAACAAACAGTTCAATTACTGATCATATACAATCTCTTGTGAGAATTGGATTTTTAAATTCTTTTATACACAAAGGTTTAACTTGAGTATATAATTATATAGATCTTGGGCTATATAACAATAAAATTTACCTGAAGTTTTAGCTTACCCCTTTTCTTATGTTATTTTAGATTATTTAACTGTAATATATTCTCTTCATTTAACATTTTGTGGTTTACCAGCTCAATTACAGGGTTATCATTATTGCACTTTTTATAAGACACCAAAGTTGTAAAATTTCTTTAAAATTGTGCATCTGACTACCAGCCAGTGGACATTTTTATGTGATGCTATACATTACAATTTGTATTGTAGTAACTGCGAATCAACCACAGAAAAAATAAAATTGATCACCATTTTCAGTTTTCTAAAATAATTTTCAAATAATCAAATAAAACTAAACCTTTAAATCTTAAACATTTCATCAAAACCTCATTCAATCACCTGATATATTCCAAGCCTTTCAGATGCTTCTTTTGGTGAAAGACCAGCAATCATAGGACCATTCTTAAGAAAAAAAAACCACAAAAAATAAATGAACAATTTTAAGGCATCAATATGCATAAAAATTATTTTCAAAATCTTGGACAAACACAGTCAGTCCTAGTTTTTGCATTAATTTCACTTTTTTCAACCAATTGTCACAGTTCAATTTTTTATACTCCCTAACATCTTTTGATATTCTATCATTAAAACAACTTACAAAAAAAGCTCTTATATTTCTATATGTAAGTTTTATAAAAACAACAATAAAATACTGTTTTACCAAATTAGTTGAGCTTGAAATTAAAATAGGTAAATAAATAAACTGAAGAAAAACACCATCGACAGACAATTTTCATCTTCTTATATAAAGAAAAATTCACAGATTTATGTTAACACTTTGATAAATAAAACACATTAATACCATTTCGTAGTCCCTATAATAATCTTGACACTCATTATCAAAGACTGATAAGTTCTCTAAGAGTTCAGCTTTAAAATGAGGTTGGACATAAGCTAGTATTGTCTGTGTTTCTCCAGCCAGGGCTAACAACTTTTGCCAGGAGTATCGAACATTATCTACTCTCTCCATTTCTTCCTTGGTTACATTCAAACTGTGTTTATTCAGAATACTGTAACATTCCTAAAGAATTGGAAATATAAATGTCAGAAACCATACTCTCAAACCATGTTACATGAAATATATGTAAATCAAGAAGAAAATTTCATAATGAGTCATATAATTCTAAATATAACAAGACAAAGAAATGGCTTCAAAAAAATTAATAGAATTCTTACTTCAACAGGCCCAATAGCAAGGTCAATTTCAATTTCTCGATCACGAACTTCTTTCAAAGCAGACATTGATGTGCGGATATCATCCAAGTCTTGAACAGGCCTACTTAATCTTTTTGATAAATCATTTATAGCACTGAAAATCAAATCCATTTGAAAACTATATAATTTTTTCATTGACTTTCCATACTGAACAGACCACACCTGAGCCTCTAGAGCTAATGCCATCTTTAGGTTTTCTAGAAGAAAAAAAACGAAAATTTAAAAACTTTTAATTTGTTTTTATTCCTAAAGGAATAATCCCATCTAAAAGAATTGATAGAGAATCAACATTACCAGCAGCCCAAGTGCCGTGAACATGTAAAAGTCTGATTTACACAAGTAGTTTTAAACATATGCTTATCCCTCCAACTGGAAAAATGAAAAATCTGCTATCTTACTTTTGTTTTTTCATTATTAGCAAAAAAGTTATAGAATAAACTTAAAATTTTCTGCATCATATATTTGTTTGTGTTAATCCACCTGTAGTTTGTTTTCTGCATTTATCTGGAATTGTAAACTACCAATTTTCAAACAAAATGCACTTTTTTTTTTTATCAACATACTGTTTCATTTGCCATTTTACAAAACTAAGTCAACTGTAATTATCAGATAATGTTTTTGCAGTTACGTTACCATTTGTGTTGTAGAAATGCTTTTTATTCAAAATGAGTTATTTTGTAATTGAAAGGCTAGTTCTCAATAACTGTTGTTATTTGCTGTTTTTTAGTCACCTGCACAAGATAACTGAGATTCTTCAAGTTATTTATTTAAGACAATAGAAAGTTCTAATTTTCCTATATTGAAAATTCATTTCCGATAGGTACTTACCTCCTCTCATAAATAGCTATTCTTGTTTAGTGTTGCCCTCTATATGAAAAAAAATTTTTTGCACATGCCACAAGCCTTGGAACTCCCACCCATTTGGAATTTACTAATTCCAATGTGTCTCGCATGCAAATTATCATGCGACAACCCTCCACCAATAAGAGTGCAACACACACTCTTGACGCATGTGACTTCCTCTATTCAGTTCTATCGAACTATCATTGTTTCATAAACGAGCACATGTTGATATTTTATAACAATGTGAGAAATTTAAAGGTCGATCTAGAAACCCAACATCCAGCATCAAAAAGATGTCTATGTAATGTAAACTATCTCACTCAAAAATATAATGACAGGAACTGCTCCAAGTGCAGGAGCATCCTTGGAATAGTAGTCACCAATGGACAGCAGAAGGGGAAGAACTGTAGGAATCTGCAAGTACTTCCACCATGACCCACTACAGGAATGGAGTAATAAGAGTATAAATGAGTGAGAGAAGAGAGATATCTGTAATACATGTGTGAGGACTTATGTTGATTGGTTCAACTGTAAATCCAAAACCCAGCCACTTGGAACCAACATCAAAGGGGTGAACTGGAATTTCGATGGCTCACTCCCATGTTACATAGTGGAGGATAGCTCATCATCTACACCAGCATCTACTCTCAACTGAATGGTTTTATAATCATTTATATATATCATTTGTATTTCATTGTCACATTCAGGAGGAAGCCTCCATGGTCCACCACCCCAGTAGCTTGGAACTGGAAAGTGGTAAGGACTCTCAAACTCCACTAAAAGAAAAGAGGGAAGAAAGTGCAGTGGAATGTACAGAGGAATGACAACACCTGAGACAGTGCAATGGGTGACCAAGAAACCCTATTTTGAAAAGCAGACCATACCAATTTAATCAATACAAGGTATGGCAGGGATGGGCAGCTATCCCCTTCTGCTTTACCCAGGTAGTCCATGGGTGAGTACGGTCCAGGATGGGCAAATTTTTAAAAATAAATATATTGTGATTATGAATCTACAAGTGATCTTGTGGAACACTCCATCTTTGCAGTGTGCATTGCGTGGCCACGAGAGATAGGAATGGCTGGATGAAATACCGGTGACCGATGTTGACAATGAAGGGATGGAGTAAGAGGAAGAGGTAATGGAAGGGTAGTTTGGAGCTGAAGTAGCCACAGGAATCACAGTTGAACCAACCAGTAAAGAGCAAGCAGAAGGACCTGACACAGAGTGGCATGGATGATCGAAATCACCCTGTGAAGAAGTCGATTGGGAAGATAGACATATAAGTATATGTTGGTCCAATCCTAACTGAAAGTATCCAGAGCCAGAGCAAGAGGATGAGGGACTGGAGACAAAAACAGAGGCAATCTGTTTTATTGAGGGATGTGGCAAATACATCAATGTGAGGAGTATCCCACTGAAGGAAAAGCCACTGGAAAATAAGAGGATCAAGAGGCCACTCTGTCGGATAGACTTTATCTGGATGGGTAAGCTGATCTGCAACAAGATTGAAAGCACCCGGAAGATGACACACGATGATCAAAATATCAAGCATGTGGGCCCAAAAAAGGAGATCTAAAGTATGAAAACATAGGGATCATGAATATGTGCCATCCTGGTGATTGTGATAAGCAACCACTGTAGAATTGCTGGAATGGATCATTATCAGACGATATCTGGCCAGATGGTGAAAATGAACCAATGCATGAAGTACAGTGAGAAGCTCCAGGATGTTGGTATGAAAAGACCTCTCAGCTGCAGACCAATGTCCCAAAGCCTCCTGTTGATCAACCGACACCCCTAGCCCTGTAAAAATATGTAATTACGGATAAGGCGGAGGAAGTGGGTCACCCGCCAACATGTAAATTTGTCCAACCATTAATGCAGAATGCCAACAATGGTAGGTGGAGGGGAAATAGGAGTCGTCAAAAGATCCTACACAAGATTCCACTGGTTGTGAAGAGCCCACATATGTGCATGACCTGAGGGGATAAGGGCTACCATGGAAGACCAAATCACCAAAAGAGATAGAAACTCACGAGCTGTAGGAGAGAGCAGTAAGCACATGGAGAACTGAAAGTTCCATAGAATAAAGTAGAAGAGGAGACGGTTGGGTCTGACTAAGATGGGTGTTGAAAATAACACACAAATGGGCAAGATATTGGGTAGACTGAAGGAATGACTTCTCCAATTTGATTAAGCAGTCAACCCAAGCTGCCTCCACGAGCAGCCGATCAGTGTGCTGGGCAGACTCCTGTTCGGAATAAGCTAACAGTAGCCAGTTGTCCATATAATGATGGCAGTGCAACCAGAAAGCATGTAAGTGAAAATCAAATGCTGTGACCACCCGACAAAAAAACATATAAAAAGACTGATACCCCCCCCCTCCGTGGTGAACAAACCGAAGATAGGGTCACGACTGATGAGATATTGGGATATGCAAATAGGCATTCGTTATGTCCATCTTGGTCATCCACAAATCCGGAGAAAAAACCTACCTGAGGGTGAGAAAAGGCTCTGTGGTAAAATGGGGCAGAATCAGAAAATAACTGATTACAGGCCATCAGTCTACAAGTTTTTTAAGGATGACAAAGATCCTGGAATAAAAACCTGGAGAAGGATGATGGGCAGGTTCTATGGCCTGTAGGAACAGAAGGTCTTGTACTGCCTTCGACAGATGCTGACTGGTAGTAGGTTCCTGAGGCATAGGGAAGGAAATGAGTACCTGAGACAAAGGAGGAGGGACAAAAATTGTAAGACAAGTCCCACAGATCTGTGGCAAAATAGTGCCAAAGGGGTACAAATTCGGACAAATGAGCTTCCACTGGACCGGAACCCACCAAGCAGTCTCCAGTATTGTTGGCAACATGCCCATCATCATCGAATGAAACAACGAGATGAGGAACCCCTGGAAGAAGGAACAGATAAAGGCTGAGAAGGACTAAGATGGGAAAAAGAAATAGGGGCTTGTCTTTGACTCTGACTGACAACAAATGTGCAACCAAAGAGGGCAGGGTCGAGTATTGACACACAGACTCCACATGTGATTTCAAAGTCTCAGGTACATCACCGAAAATAGACCACTGAAGAAGGGGGACATTCGTAAATCCCGAACATAAGGGGGTAGTAAATGAACCTGGGACAAGGCTGGGTCTCGACCTAAGAGTCAAGAAACAGACAGTTAATCTGATGGTAAGCTAAAGCAAATTGATCCGTAGCCCATGGAGGGCGAAGCATGCTGGCACCCTCAACCAACTGGGAAGCAAATTACTCAGCATGAACTTGAATATCTGGGCAGGGTGGAAAATTAAATATTGAGATGAAGAGGCATCATGCAATAAAGAAGGATGGGGATCATAAGAAATTGGGGAAATGGACAAAACATCACATACATGAGAAATCATGTCTATAAACGCTGTATTGGACCTGGCTGATTCCACAGGTGGGGCATAGGAAGACATGGCAAAATTTGGTGGTGGAAAAAGGCTGTCAAAATCCTAGTCAGCCTGAACAGGTTCAGCACATTCAGGAGGAAGTGGGACAAATTCAGGAGAAGAAGGTTGACCTATATAACGATCAATTTCTTGGCAGATAATTGCAGCCTGTGAAACAGTGCTAGTAGGAGGTATGATACCCGAAGTGGTAACATTAACCTCAGAATTCATAGTTGAAATATAAATCAAACAAATGTGTTTGATAGAAAAAAAATCGAGAGTGAAGAAAAAAAAGACTGGGAAATTAAGTTAACTAAAAAAAAGTATTCTACAAAGTATAGAAAAAAAATTATTTAAGAAAGTCCACTTCAGAAAATTGAATTAATAAAATTCACAAATGTAAATCATATGAAAAGCACCAAAAACAAAAAATGCCTTGACACGATTACTGCCAAACAAGAAGTGATAAATTGATAGAAGTGAATAGAGGGAGTCACATGCATCAAGAGAGTGTGCCATGCTGTTATTGATGGAGGTTTGTTGCATGATAATTTGCATGTAAGATGCATTGAAATTAGTCAATTCTAAATGAGTGGGAGTTTCAAGGCTTGTAGCGTGTGAAAAATTTTGTTTGCATATAGAGGGCAGCATTGAACAAGAATAGCTATTTATATGAGAAGAGATAATGTACCATATTGGAAAGTATTGTTTTCACCACTATTATTTTATTACTGCACTTATGACAAAAATGTATGAGAATTTAGGCTAAGTGTGCATTAAAACTGGCCAAATGAAAAAGAGAAAGGCATTTATTTGCCCAACAGGATAAGTTTGCAATAAAAGTTAGAATAAGGCCTTTTTGAAAGAGTAAGAATAATTATAAAACTTAAATGCATATATTTAGAATTTGATCTTA